ATATATCTAGGTACTTTCATTTTCGAAAAAGATGTTAAATAATATTTTTTATGTTTATAATCTTTAATTACATTTAAAAGTTTTCTCTTCCACAAACTTATAACAAAAAAATAATTCCATAATTTTCAAAATTTTCACGTACATGGAGATAATTATATGTAAGTGTATATTATATATATATGTGTGTGTGTGTGTGTTTAATTATGGCTAATGGGAGAAAAACACTAAAATGGGAACGGCTTTGTGGGTCGCTATTTATGTAATTTGGTAATGGTCATAAAAATACATTAACACAAAAATTTGGCAAATCCCAAATCCAGAAAAAGTGTGTTTTCGGGAAATAAAATAAAAATTGGAGTTTCATCAAAAAAAATAAAAATAAAAATAAAAATAAAAATTGGAGGAAAAAAGGAAGAACCCCGAAGCATGGAGATGACGTCATCAACGGAAGCAGTACAATCCCGTTGTACTGTATGACGCACTTATATATTAAACAATGCCTTGTTTGTCTTGGCTGCATTTTTATTTTGTAAAAAAAAAGACAAGAAAAAAATGAAGTCCGAAAAAAAATGGGTTGCTGTCATCAGATATTAAAAATAATTATATATGATTGTTTATTTTAAAAGTTATATGACATGTGTAAAGGGGCATTCAACATATGCCCATAATTCACAATCAATACAGAAAAATGGAATAATTATAACCACTAATCGCGTAATAAAGAATCAAATCGAGGGATTTGGGAAATCTAATTCGTGGAATGAAGGATTAATTAATATTATAAAATTGTAAACAGTGAAATTAGGCCATGAAATTGATTGTTCACTCGGAGGGGGGCCGAGTGGACGGACGTGTCGGACCACTACTCGTCTTGCTGGTGACGTCAACTTTTCATTGGAAAAGTTGGTACCAAAATTCTAACGCTTTGGTAATTAGAGGGTCCCAATTCGCATTTATTCTTTTTTTTTTCTCGTTTTTCTTATTTGTTTTTATTTTACATTTATTGCGTATTATTATTATAAAAAAAAGTTCAGAGATAAAATAGCGCCAAAACAAACCATTTATATATCGTGATTATGAATTAACATTCCGATGTAGTACATTCCTTTCCTATTATCCCCACCTTAATTATATTTAGACGACCCATTATATATATAATTAATTTCCATTTCAAATGGACAGACCGATTCGGCAATCATTTAGTTTGTAATAATTGGAATTAGTTTGCAGTCGATGCGCACAAAATTGAAATTTGATTGTAAGGTAGGGCTTTCCAATAAGACTAACAAATGTGGCACCTTATATTGTACCTAATTAGGTTAATTAGCTATTTGCTTAGTGTGACATGAAAGCATGGAACACTTTCTTTTCCAAAAACTATTTTTGGTACGTTTTTTTTTTACAAATCTTGCCATGCCCATAATTAGTCGCGATTTTCTAACCCACCATCATCATTCCATTTTATTTCCTCAATTAGATAAAATTGAAATGAAAATTTTAGGGCATGCCCTGTAATTTATATTACTAGAAACTAACCATAACGAAAATAGAAAGAAAAAATTTCATCTTAATTTTTTTTGGTCCGCGACGGTATGTACAGCAAATTGGGAGATTTCAGATTTGATATTTTATCTCTTTTTTTTTCGTTTGGGCGCTAATTAGGATTCAATACAAGGGAACCGGAAAACGCGGCGGCTTAACCGGAGGCGGCGGCGGCGGATTCTGGACATCGACGGTGATCTTCACTGGCCTCGGCGGCTCGCACGGACATGGCAGCGCTATGAACTTCGGTGTATCATCTCCTGGCATCAACACCGGTACGCTCTGGCTCTGGTTCTTCTTCGTTTCCTAATCACATTTAATAAACCACGATTAATTAAATTAATCCTTCAACTAATCAGTTATTAATCCCAACTTTAACCAGTAAAAATCAAATATATTTTCAAAAAATAACCCTTTGCTTATTTTCTCTTTGAATTTCTTAATTTCAATCTGTGGATATCTGGAAAACCGAGTGTGGTAAAACCGTAAATAATTCAAAATCGAGATGAATAATTCGAAATCTGAGGGTTCTGTTGGAGCATTACAATTTGCAGAGGGCGGAGAGAGTTACCGAGATGGGAGGTCTAGGCTTCGCCGGAGAGGACTCGATGTCGCCGGCAGCGGCGGCGGACAAGGAGCGGCGGAGGGAACGGTGTTTGTCCCAGTGGTAACAGCAGGAGAAGATCCCGGAGAGGCTGAAGATGATGATGAGGAGGAGAGCTGTGCCCAGTGGGAAGCCTAGCGACGGCCGAGACGCGTCCACGTGCGGCGGCGGCGAGAAATCCTGCGTGTTCTCCATCTCCGGCGGCTGGGATTATCGACGGGGCTGTTGTGGGAGGATCGACGGCTGAGATTGATGGACGGTCTTCTTCTCTCATGTGTTTGAGAGAGAGAGGGAGAGAGAGAGAGAGGAAAGTGATGTTGTTGTGTAGGGGAAGGCAGTACGGGGAAGCAGAGGGTAGGGGGAGTGTATATTTATAAATGAAAAATCTGGAATATTTTTTTATTTTTTTATTTTTATTTTAAATTTACAACGCCATCATATCAAAAATACCATCCATTTGTTATTTTTTACTTCAAGACATATTCTTCTCATATGTGACCATGTGATCAGAAATTTAATCTTGGTCACATTGATCATAACATTAAATTTATAAATTTTTTATCAAATGATCAATAAGATATATAAAATATGAATATAATGAATGAGTATGATAATCATAAATTTAACGTTATGGTCAAAATGACCAAGATTAAATTTTTGGTCAGATGAGTCACATGATCACAGTTAGAGAAAAATATGTTTTAAAATCAAAATAACAAAACCTTTTACAACTGTAAGAAAAAATCCAGTCCAAAAAAGCAAATGTGATGTACAGAAAGTTATGCTTTCCCTTTTGCTTTTTTATTTTCCAAATATCTTTGAAATGATTGTTTATGTAGAAAATACCCCCGATTATATCATGACGTTTCCACAATTCTCTTATGCATATATATATCCTAGCTTTTGTAATTCCATGAAACCAGAAGTACAGGCCACACGAGAAAAAAAAAAAGTTTTTTTTTTTGGTGTTGTAAATCCGTGCGAAGCATAACATAACCGTCGGTAAATTTCAAAATTACCATAATATATATATACTCAGCAATGTTTTGGGAGAGCGAGTGAAAGTCATTTCTGTATGTTATTGAAAAAGTGAAGTTGTAAAGATCAAATCAAATTTGACTTTCCAAAAACAGTGCATCATCAAATCCAGCAAAGAGAAAGGAAGAAATGAACCTTTTATCATCGGTGAATAAATACAAAAACTACAGTAAATATTTACTTTCGTGGTAAATTTATATTAATTAAAAATAAAAAAAATCGGGGGAAAATTAGAAGGGAGGAGAGTCGAGAGGGAAAGAAAGGCAAGGGAGAAGTTGTCCTGTTGTCCGGACCACCGTACGGAGAACACGTTGGCCCTCCATTTTATTTTTTCCAATGTCACACACTAATAAATATTTTTTCGACACTCATTTAATTTTTCTCATTTTTTTTAATTAATACAAAGATGACTCATCAACTCGGCAAAAATTATAATACGATTCTTTGTTCCACTATATATATATATATATATATATATATTGACATGAAAGCATGGAACACTTTCTTTTCCAAAAACTATTTTTGGTACGTTTTTTTTTTACAAATCTTGCCATGCCCATAATTAGTCGCGATTTTCTAACCCACCATCATCATTCCATTTTATTTCCTCAATTAGATAAAATTGAAATGAAAATTTTAGGGCATGCCCTGTAATTTATATTACTAGAAACTAACCATAACGAAAATAGAAAGAAAAAATTTCATCTTAATTTTTTTTGGTCCGCGACGGTATGTACAGCAAATTGGGAGATTTCAGATTTGATATTTTATCTCTTTTTTTTTCGTTTGGGCGCTAATTAGGATTCAATACAAGGGAACCGGAAAACGCGGCGGCTTAACCGGAGGCGGCGGCGGCGGATTCTGGACATCGACGGTGATCTTCACCGGCCTCGGCGGCTCGCACGGACATGGCAGCGCTATGAACTTCGGTGTATCATCTCCTGGCATCAACACCGGTACGCTCTGGCTCTGGTTCTTCTTCGTTTCCTAATCACATTTAATAAACCACGATTAATTAAATTAATCCTTCAACTAATCAGTTATTAATCCCAACTTTAACCAGTAAAAATCAAATATATTTTCAAAAAATAACCCTTTGCTTATTTTCTCTTTGAATTTCTTAATTTCAATCTGGTGTTTTAGTCGCTAGTTCGAAACCAGCTATTGAAGAGGGAGGGGATATTTATCTGCTGAGAGGGTGTTGCTTCTGGGCCTCTGTCGCAAGTTTTCTAAAGGCTGCTTCCGGATCTAGGGTGAATGTAATCGAGTCGAAATTACGGAGAACTATCCTGGTTAACAAAAAAAAACTTCGAGCTTTTTTCTTTTTGTCACAAATTTCTCGAGCTTTCTCACCTCCCAAACACATTCTTTTTATTCTAAAAAAGCTTGCACAAGTAATCATTTACATCTAACCCTGATAAAATGGTCATCTAATATATATATATATATATATATATACTCGTCCATTTTATGATGTGAGTGGCAGCGCCCACCGGTATTT